TAATATCAGGAAATAATTTGACCTCTAGTGGTATTACTAGTGAAAATTTTATACCTCTATTTTATAGCCGATCAAATGCTGTTATTTTAAAAGGTTTCCATAACAACCAGAAAAAATGTCCGGAAATGTTTCTCTTGGCGAGTACCCTGCATGAAATTACACTGGAAATGTTTTGACATTTGAGAAGCACTTTCATGCACATGATATTACGACGCAACGGTGTAATTAAAAAATTTGCCATTTTCAGCTCTTAAAATTTTATTGTCTGGAAATTTTTGCTCACTCACGAATATTTTAAGAAAATTATCCCTCGTCTTCGACTCGGGATAATTTTCAAAATATTCTTTAGTTCGAAAAAAGTTGCGCAAATAATTTAGGCACAAGTGGTAATATAAGTGATAATATAAAAATCTTACCCCCACCGTGGCTAGCGGGATATAGAGGGAGTTGTGGCATATTTAAAAAATCTAAGAATTTTTTATATAAAACACATATAAAATTAAGAAAATCTATCAAATTATGATATTCTGCTAATAAATCTTTCTTTCTTTTATGTAAAAAAAAGAAGTTTCAAGTAAATATACATTTTTAATTTTTTACCCGTTTCTTCAGATCAAAATGATTTGAAATGAAATTATAATAAATAAGCACAAATTTAAAATGCTTGAAGAAAAGATTTTCAACTCGAATATTTTAAAATACACCGCCTGATAGTCCTTGCAATCTGCGGTTACGCACTTTCCTGTCTAATAATTCAATGGAGACAAGTATATTTTACTAATTTTGAATATTTAATAACATTAATTTAAAATTAGTACTAAAAACTAAATACATGTAAATTATACATGTAATGAACCAAATCATTCTAAACTAATTTTCCTAACGTGTGCGGCTTAGTGCAAAATAATTTATCCGATTAAAAATTAGCAAATGTCAGTTTTGTGAAAGGAAAGGAATCTACTTGTCGTGGCGCGCATGCCTGCCGCCTGTCCATTACTTCTCTTACGGTGTTGCCATATTTATTCTTTTTTTAGACCATAAAGAACATTATATTACTATAAACTAACAAATTATATAAGTTTAATAAACACTTCCATAAATGTTTATTATGTCTTTTTCATACAAAATAATTCAAAAAAATAATCTTTTCAAATACCTTTCGTCCTTTTAAATTTTATCTATCTATTTTACGAGGGTATATCAAATATAAACGGGACTGTTTGGATTAAAAATTCCTGAGTGGTTATTGATCTGGAAAGAATTGATAGAAGGGGAGAAAACCGATCAGAATTCGCTCACGTTTCTTTTAGTATGCAAAGAAACCATGAGAGAGAAAGAAGTGCATGTCTCCGTGGAGCAACAGATATAATTAAGTTTTTGGCAAAGGAGTGCGTAAAACCTACCGAAATTTTGCGACAATTGCAGGTACAGTTTGGGGATAACACTCTGTCAAGAACCCGTGTATTTTCATGACACCAAGAATTTTCTGGAGAGCCTGAAAAGATGCACGCGTGAAAGCAAATACGCGATTGTAAGCCTAAAAGGTAATGGCAACAGTATTTTTTGATCGACTTTCTACACGATCAACGCATGATTAATGCACAATATTGCAGAGTTACTGGAAGCCGCAAAATTGTTATTTCGACGAAAAAGGAAGAATCAATCGGTCAGAAATATCATTCTTTTACATGACAACGCCAGACCTCATGTAGCTAATGTCACTAGGAAAAAATTGGAAACATTTGAATGGGAAATACTGGAACATCCTCCCTATAGTCCAGATCTTTCCCCTTGTGATTATCATCTTTTTGGATCCTTCAAAAAAGCGCTTGGAGACTAGCGTTTCGACGATACCAAGCGGTGGAAGCATTTGTGCTCCAATGGCTACAGAAACGTCCGAAGAGTTTCTACGATGCTGAAATAAAAAAGTTATCAATCCGATGGGAAAAATGTATTTATAATGGGGGGATGTTTGTAGAAAAATAATGTATGTTTGAAAACCTATTTAAATAAAGCTTAACATTTTTACAAAAGAAATCCCGTTTATATTTGATACACCCTCGTATTTCAGGCAAAACCACTCAAACTGATTTAAGATGAAATCACTCGTTTATCAATTGGTTTGTTTTCTTGATTTTCCAAATAAAGACGTTTTCGTGGAAACTAAAATTTGAAGGACTCGTGGTATTACCCTTGATAAAATTATACATATAATGAAAAAAATTGTTGGTATCGAAATTTGAATGCACAATCTTTTGCTTCAATAACCGGAGACTTATTCATTAGAGCGCGTTCGACAGATTAGGGTGTGATGGTTTTTATAGGATAATTTACATTTCCCGCTTTATATACCGTATCTGGTGTTGCCCATCACCGACCTTATATAAAAAATGATTCTTTTTTCCATTTTTCTGTTTGACCGGTGTTATTATTTGTTTTTAGGCCATTTTTGATTTATAAAAAGAAAAAACACATAATTTTTCAGCATCAGATTGAGCCTAGTATTGAAATTTGTTAACGAAATGTATGAAAACAAAAGCAAAACGAGAAAGGTTGAAAAAATCCTTAATTTCATAATAAATTCAGTTCATGGGTATCGAAATAATTGGGTCGGCCTTACGGCTTGGCTTATGTTCAATAATTTAAATAATTTCTTCGTCGTCGACGATGTGAATATATTCAAAGATATCTTTTTTTAACAATAAAAAAAGAGAAAATATTAAACTCTTAAATTGGCAACTATAATCGTTCTACGCATGTTCAATACATAACTGCGAGTATTTATATGAAACCGCCACTTGCAAGTGTCGGTTAGGGTTAAAGGCATATAACTGACGCTAAAGTCGATAAACCTTTTGATAGGCAATGACTGACGGCTATTCGCGATTCAAATTAATTTTCGCGCGCCTGTCATTTGTCACCTTTAAGTAGGATGGTAGGATGTTTGTTTATATCACATACTTTGATTTTCTTTTACTATACGGAGAATGGTCGCACTGCGCAGCTTTCTGAGTGCCTTTTAAAAGGAGATAGAAAACTCCGCCATTTTGAACCTTTATTACGTGTTGCCTACATCTTGGCGCAATATTTTTAATAGGTGCGTTTTAATCATCCGCTTCTGCTTCGGAATTGTCGGTTTTCTTGTTTTAATCTGACAGGTTAGAACGACTGAACCGACAATTCCGGAAGCAGAAGCGAATAATTAAAACGCACCTGATATTTTGCTTGCTGCTGTCAGTGTCAGTGAATATTATTTTTGGAGTCACAGTTTATTGCTAAAGAATCAGTTAGCTCACTTGGACCAGTTGAAAGTTCCAAAATAACAGCCACTCCAGGGATACAAATTCAGGATACGCAGAAGACTGCTGTTTTATTATAGGCGGTTGTCATATATTGTATTAACTGAGTTGCGCCGTATATAAACTGGAACATTGAGATAAAAAGTGCCGACGCAGAGTGAACGATCTGATTCTTTAGCTATAAACTGTGTCATAGGGTTCAAAATGGCCGCGCCCTATGTTGGGCGTGTCGGACCTCTCTCTTGCCCCGTATAGTAATCAAAGTATGTGGTTTATATACATGTGTTTGTTTTGTGCGGGATTTTGTATTTGTGATTTTTTAACTGTTTCAATATAATATTTATCATGTGTATACATAATTTGTTGGAAATATTCACCTATTGGTTACTACACGAACATCTAGAAATATTTACTAAACCCAGGACATGATTTATGTGGTTTAAAGAACATTTCAGGTACCAAACGTTTATTATTGATGAAGTTATTTAAAAATCTTTGATTCTGACATTAACACCATATAGATTGCAATTTGTTGGGGGCTTTTCGCAAATTACATTTTTAATTTAAACACTATCAAAGGCTATAAGAAAAAAACAAATTTAAAGCTCACAAGTAAGAAAAACGTCGAATTATAATTGATATAAATTAAAATATAAACAGTGAACAGGAACGCCAACGTTGCCAAATGATGAACTAATTTTAAAACAAAATTAATAAATGAGCTGAAATTTATAAAAAAAAATCAATATAATAAATCGGTTTTATAAAAATTCTTAAATAAATATAGATTATGATTACATATTACTAGACACAAATTTTGCTACTTAAAAAAAGGTATTATCCACTTTTTCAAGGGCTAAAAATCCGAGGGCGTAGCCAAATTTCGCTACTCCTGGCAACACTAAACAATATCCTACTTATACACTGAACAATATCCTACTTATAGGCACCTTCTACAAATTTACTCCAGAGGGCATATCACTTAGCTTGAATCGTGAATCCCCGTAGCTGCCAGCTATCCTAAATAGCCGAAGATTAAAAAACCAGTCTTAAGAACAAAAATCTGCTTTCAGCACGGTACATAGTTTCGTTTCACTAAATAAAACATGATTTTAAGACAGCGTTGCCATATTGATAAAGACTAGTTAATGAATAGAATATTGCTCCATCTGTTGAACAAAATTACTCTTAAATATGACATATGCATGACATCTACCAAAATTAGTTATTCTTATGAATACTGGAGGCCTCTAAAAGTGGATATTTTTGAAAGAGCCATATAAAACTAATTACTAAGAAGAAAATTTGAAGAGATTAAAAAAAGGTTTTAAAATACGGGTAAACAATTTGTAGTTTTGGAAATTGTCATCAGTCAACCGTTTCTTGTTTATTTTGGTATGATAACGTTCATTCTTCAACCTCTAACCTTACACAACGTGACAAACGAACTACTCCAAAAAGTCAGTATTTAACAAAAAAAAAATAATTTTCCTCATTTTCTAATATATTCTGTACACTACTAGCTAAAACTTATCAGTTTAATTCTAGTGATGTAATAACTTGACTTTGCGTACAAAATAGAATATTGATTGCTAGTTGAACTGTAATAGTCGTCGATGCAGTATAGTCGCATATAATTGCTATTTTATATCCAGATTATTAATATACATTCTATTATTATTATTAAGATTAAGTACTTACGCTTTAAATAGTATATCCCCCGATATCATATTCAGTTCTATCTTAAACTTGAGCATGCTGTTGTCCTGTCGATGTCTTGCATCGTATCCTTCGAGTAAGGCCTTCTTATGTATTAGTCCCGCTCCCGCATATTCGGCGAGATTCAAATCCACGAAACCAAGTTTGTTGAAGGATCTACCGCCTTTGGATTCCTTGCGGATAGATATCCTAAGGACGCAACGTTCCATTACTCCAGTCGAGGCGTTGGCCATCATTTTGCAGGGGAACGTGAAATTAGCACCCCATTGGACTTTGTGATCTTGGACTTCTTGCCTGAAAAGATAGAAAAATATTTGTAATATATGTAATATGTATATCGTCGGGTTATTGCCAAAACAAGATAAGTTACATTTTTATAGTTTTGAGTTATTTCATGATATTTAGTGGTGCTGCAAGACGAGAGAGACATTTTCTCTCGAAAAAAGATTCGAGACGAGACGAGAGAGTGTCATCTCTCGACGAGAATTTCTCGTTTCTCTCGAACTCTCTCGAACAATTTTCTCTTTGCTTATTTGAAATTTTCAATTGATTATCGTAACTTAAAATTTTAACATATTAGATTTCGAGATAGTCAAAAAGTTAACTATAATACACCTATTCTATAAATATTAAATGGTAACAAATGATACTTGTGTTATTAGGATTTTATAAATAGTGATTTATAGGAAAAAATATTTCTCATTTCATTTATTTAAAATTTATACAATCATTTCTTATATTTAATCCATTCTGCTTTGGTGAGGTTACTTTTGAAGATAAGTTGAAAATTTTTAAGCGTTTTTTCGAAAAACTGTCAAAGAAAAGGTAATACACACGAATGTATTATATACAGTGAGGACGAAAATTATACCCTCCTCTATTTTAACTTCTAAATGAAAAAATATAACAAAACAAAAACGAGGTAAAACTTTTTGTTATAACGAGATGCACTTGAGACACGTAAGATAGAGGGAGTTACTAGCTTTAAATTTTCTTATGGAAAGTAGAGTTATGTGATACCTCATTTAAAAGATATTTTCTATATTTTTACAACAGATTTAGTTTTTTATATTTTTACAGAAATAAATTCCTAAGGTAGGTTAATTTCTTTTTTTTATTAACCGCTTCAACCTCAAAGGATTATTACCGGAGGTATATTACCTTATAAATGCTGTTTTTTACAATAGTATACAATGGATAATTAACATTTTGGCTAGTACAGAGTAAAGTCAGTATCTTTTATAATTTTAAGCAATTTTTACTGTTAGAGGGAACACTACACAAATGACAATTTTTTGTAGCTGGTACTTTGTTCTTATACAGACATGTTCTGGGCCTTTACTAATAAGTTACATTCTTGATAACTCTCGTATTAACAATTATTGTTTATTATTAAGGAAACGCTTCTTGTATTTACTAAAATAAATTAAGAATATCAAAGGTGATTTAAAAACCACTTGACGTATTACATTTTTCATAACTTCTTAGCCAAAAAACGTATTAAAAAATTATCTTCTAACATTATCTAACATTTCTTGGATTATTGCGGCACACGAGAATTATCAAGAATGTAATTTTTGTAAAAACAAAACAAAATAACAAAATTAAAACTGCTTGGAAGTAAATATAATCAAAATATCTATCAAATGAGGTATTACATGACTTTACTTTCCATTAGAAAATTTAAAGATAGTAACGCCCTCTATTTTACGTCTCAAGTAAAGTGCATTTCATTATAACAAAAATATCATGTTTCTCTAATTTCACATCTTTTTTGTTTTGTCTCTATCTTCTTGCATTTTGAAAACATACTACAAAATCCTTTCTTTTGACATCGCAGGATTGCATTAAAAAAATCTAACTTCCAATTTAACCTCTTCCCCCCTCCCCGACTGACTTACAAAACAAAGTATTTTCGTTTTTAGTTAACGCCTAATCTGTAGACATGGGTAACGCACTAAAATTCTTTGCGTTGATACACTAACTCCGGCGCACTCTATTGCGCCAACTCACTGCGTTAACGCAATTGCGTTATTGCGTCACACCACTGCCTGCGCCGAATGAAGTCGATGCACCTCGGTGTATCGCATGATACCGGTGTTATTCAGCGGTTCAGCGCGGGCTGTCCTTTTATAAGGATCAAACCGTGTTCAAGGCATTAACGCAATTGGGAATTTAACTAAATTTTTTTTATTAATGTTTAAAAATAAACGAAAATATAACAGTGTAATGCACTCATTTTTTTATTTCATTGTGTTCGGATTTTACAAAAAATACAAAAATTCCAATTTATATAAAAAGGATATAAATTTTGTATACTAGTAGCCAATCAAATTGGGAAGAACTAAAAATTGACAGTGTACAAGATTAAAATTCATAAAATTCGACCTACAATCCTACAAATGATGTGAAATGTTGCAAAAAAACATAATTACTTGATAAATTTTGGGTAATCTGCATTACGAGTTGCATCAATTACGTAAATTAAAATTCTCAACTCGTCACGGAAAACGGAATCAGTGCCTGGCGCATGGCGCACCAACAACTCGCGATCCTTTCGACTCAGTATCGAAAATTGCGTTGCGCTGATACAGTAACAACTGCTGTATCAACGCTCGTAACGCATACAACTGCGTTAACGCAATAACGCAACGCAGCGCTGCGTTACACATGTCTACTAATCTGGGCCACTTATTACTTTAAATTTCAATTGTAAAACGACTGTGACAGACGGACAGACAGAGAGACATAAGTATTTCCTATTGCCAAATTTGGGTACTAATTAAGGGTGTGCACGATGTATCGATGTTTAAAAAACATCGATTTTTAGGTTTCGATTATCGATGTTCAACATCGATGTTTTTTAATCCGATGTTATTTGCTAACATCGATTTTTACATTAACATCGATGATTTTCTTTTCAATGTTTCTTGGTTTTTTGTTAAGCGTCACGTTTAATTTGATGGTTTAAATTTCTTTTTCCTGTTTTTTTGCTCTTCAATGAACACTTTTGGAAAACATCGATGTTTACAGACACATCGATGTTTGAAAAATTTTGCGCATCCCTAGTACTAATGCGCAAATTACTTGAAAAATTATTTGTTTTTGTCTTACAAATTTTACCGTTTTTTCATGTTTCGTCTTTTTCAAATTTAAATTTGATATTGTTTTATCACGAGAGAAACTAGACGAGACAAGACGAAAGGAAGGCTATCTCGATCGAGAGAAGCGCCTTCTCGTCGAGACGAGAGAACAGTTTTCTCTCGCCCTACGAGACGAGAGAGGCCACTCTCTCGTCTCGTCTTGTCTCACGGCATCACTAATGATATTACATATTTGCTCAAATAAATTAAGGGTGCTACAATAAGATAACAACCACTTCTCGAATTTTGACTGTATGTTTATGATATTTATACACGTAAAGTGTCAGTTGTCTTGTTTAGCCTGTTTTGTTTAAATTTGACACATAACCTTAAAACCGTTTAATCGGTAGATATCATGGGCTAATATTTTATAATTTTTACTTGTTGAAAGCAAAAACAATAAAAAGAAAAGATGTCTAGTGGATTAGCAATGCTAAAGATGGTTAGCCAACAAAAAGAAAGCACAGGTAAGCAATTTTGCATCTATTTTGGGTAGATGATAAAATGTGAAACATGTATTATTCGCTTTATAAAGAATTGTCTGAAAAAAAAAGGCACACAGCCAGTATCTCTAATAACCTATCGAAGAATATTTTGTACAAATTATAATTACTCATTTTATAAACTAAAGAAGGACCAGTGGCAAGTTTGTATGCCGCCGTATAAAACCTGCCAAAATTTAGAAAGAAAAGAAAAACTACGAGAAAACTATAAAGCCCGTATGGAAAGAAAGATTGTTATTCTGCTAAAATAAAAAATAAAGAGAGGGCCTCAACCGAAAAAAAAAAAAAAATTGTTGTATTTTCGATTTGCAATGTGTTTTGCAGATACCTAGCAGTGACGTAAGTCATATGTACTATAGTAGAAAACTATGCACGTACAATCCACCATTTATGACATGGCTCCTCCCATTGCCGCTTTTTGCTGTTTGGACAGAATTAAATGGAAAGAGGGGGGTAGTTTGAAAATTGGTACATGTTAACATGAATATTTAAATCAACTATTTGAGAATGTTTCAAAATTGTCACTGTCGGCCAAAACCGTAATCGAAATGTAAGTGCCCTAATGCTTTTTTTAATGAAAAATAAGCTAAAAACTCCATGGGAGAAAAAGTTGATTGGCTAAAAGTGAAGTGCTTTAGGTATCTGAAAAGTAAACCTTGAGTTTTAGAATATCGTTATGACCATACTTCGGAATACAAGGAAATACATGTTTTGAGTAAAGGCCGTCCTCTAAATGCAAATGAAATTAAAATCACAAAAGCGTACAAAAGATGTAGGCCCATTCCGGTTAAGAAAAAACAAGACCTACCAAAATTGTGTAAACGTGATGTTATCCCTGAAGAATACCATCAATATTACAAATCCTTGCCTACCTCAGGTAAAAGATTTAGTTCCAGAGCCAGCATCTGAAGATTCTGATATAGAAGAACTTCCTTTAGAAGAGCAGGATAAATAAAACAAAAACAGGTAATTATACATCCAAAAGAAGATAAGTGCTTTTTCTGCTAAATACTTTGGTAGTTTTTAAATTTTATGATAAATTTATCTACTGTTTAATATCCAATTATATTAAAATTCAGTTCCTAACTAAAAACATAGTTCTTCTTTTATGCCTAATTTTTCATCAACTGTTAATATTTTAAACATTAATAACTCAAAACTATAGATAATCGATAGAGAAACATATAAACGTCATTACTTTACCATCCATATGCTCTAAAATGTTAAATAATTAAATTGCTTTCATTTTCAAAATTATGCTTTAATTTCAATGACCACACTGTGTTATTCTTATGGACAGTAATGACAGTTAACAGTTTGGTTCCTTTGTTGGCATCCAATGCTATGACCTTCCTCAACCTGTGACGCGCAATAAACACGCGTATAGACCTTTCTACCATGTTCTAGTCAGTTTTCTGACATCTAATGAAGTTTGATAGAAAAGACCGCATGTATATGGTTTGGTGACTTATTAAGATAGTTCCAAGATTTGCATGGAGTGTTAGATACTCACGTTTTCTTATTTTACATAATGTTTTTGATTTACAATTATCTAAATCATGCTTTACTACATCCCAGAGTACAACATATCCATCAAATACGTACAGATATATTTTGTACATGTAACAATAAATAAACAGCACAGATA